CTATTGCATTCACTCGGGGAATAAATCAATGATTGGACAATCTTATTCTCTTTGTCTTGCCCCTCTCTCTGGTGTTCTGTCTTTCAAATAAAACAAATAAATCTTAAAAGAAAAAAACAACTAAGTAAATAAATTAAGAAGCCTCTGGAAAAGCTCACACAATCTAACATGGGGACGGGGTATGATTATGGAGAGATATTAAAAGTCAACACTTCCCCACTTCTACATAAAAACTTAAAACATATGGGAGCAATAATAGAAATGTATGGAAACTGCATATTTAAACAAGTAGCAACGAAGCTGAGTAAGGACACAGAAAAAGACTGTATGCAGACCACAAGGACAGCCAAGAGCAAACGTAGACTGACTTCTGAACTGATCAGCATCAACATGGATTTCAAAATCTGTCCCTTCAGACTCATATCAAAGAATCAAAAAACCATGATATGAAAAATGTGTTTGCTACAATAACTCAAAAACTAAATGACTTTAATAAAAATAGATTATACCAAATGTTGACACAGTATCATAGTAACCCAAAATCAGCAAGATGCCAGGGCAACTGTCAAACTCTCCAGTAGGATCAATTATATGACGAAGGTCAACCAGACACAGTTTTATAAACTGCCACAGGCAAAGAAAAAAAAAAATCCAGAAGTTTAATTGCACACTCTTCTTTACTCTGGATGCATGTTAAGTGTCTCCTGCCTTTTCAATAAACTCCTGAGAACACCATGCATGCTTGCAGAGATTGTATATGTAATAACACAGATGCTCAGAAGAGCGCATCTGAATATGATTCAGAACCACTGTACCTGGCTACATTGAGTCCTCATTGTCCTGGAAGCTTTTAATATTAGAAATCTTCTTTATACCAACAAGGAAGAATTATCAACAGTAGGAAAATAATAACAGCGAGGAAAAAGAAATAATTTATACTTAACATGTAAAGAAGCATTTAGAATATCACACAAGTTGGGTCCCTTATTTGTTAATGATAACAATAGCTAACAAATATAATACAATAGCAAAAAAAATCAACATTAGATATAGCCATAAATGAATGATTTGAGGAAATACATGATTTCAAACATTTCACTGCTTGTATAATGAAAAATCTTTGTGGCCAGAACCATGGAACCACTCACAGAACCGATGACGAAGCGTTTCTTTATCTCATCCAGTATGGATTCCAGCCGCTAAGCCATGCTAAGATCCTAAGCACTGTGTGACTAGAGAATGGGAGTAGGGTGGGAAAAGACAGCCTGTCACAGATAATCCTGCTCATGAATCTTGAGAAGATTCTTTGCATCTGGACAGACATGTGAGAGCCAACTCAGACAGACAAGGGTGTTAGTTCCCCCAGCTGAAAAACCCCAGGCCTCAAGGAAAGCAGCTCAGGCAGCCTGCGCTCAGCCGCACATCAGAAGGTGGCAGCAGGTGACGGGACATGATCTCTTCTACCTGCAGAATCGCTCAGGTTCTCCCCATCTTGGAACCATCTTTGCTTTGCAGTCATAGGATGTTCACAGCCCTACTGTAGGGGCCAAAATAAAGAAACAGGCATTCACTGAACATTTTTATACCAAATCTCTACATTCCTGTCTATATATGCTCTTCATTTCCCATAGTCCTTCCTGCTTTACAGTCACCTTATAATAATAACATACTAATTTTACCAAGGATCATGCATATCCAATCTGGAAGCTTCCTTTTTATGTTCTAAAAACATGTCTTATTTAGTCTGAGACACTTTCTTTTCTTACTCTTCAATTCCCTTTCAATCATACCAATACCTTTTGAACCCATTCATCCAAATGACACTACTCTGTAAGTCAGCATCGAGCAAGCAGTTTGCTTTGCTCACTTACTTGTGTGTGTCTTTGGATGCAGTTCAATCCCAGGCTTCAGTTTGTATTTATTTCTAACCATCGCTGGGGCATTTGTTGTGAGCCAGCTCAACTCAATACTAAGCAATGGCGTCTTCACAAAACAGAAATATTCTTTCTATCCCCAAATTCTTCTTCATTAAATCCATTTCTTCATTGATTTCCACATGCCCTCTCCAGTTAGGGCAGAAACTTCATGAGGGTGACAAGCATATCCTCATTGCCCAGATGCGCACTCGGCACAGTTAGGAAGATTCCCTCATGGAATGAATATGGGTGGAATGAGTGAATCTCCAGAATGCTGCCTCTCAGCAGCATTCTGTACCTCTCAGCACCTGCCCTCTGCTTCACGGGATTGCCGTCAAGGACACAAAAGCTATGGCAGGGCTCACAGTTCAATCTATCATTCACCGTTCAGTTCCTACATGTCCGCAAGCCCAGTGCTGGGCAGACCAAAGCCAGGAGTGTGGCACTCAATCCAACATGGGTGGCAAATCTACAAATACTTGAGCCACCTTCTGCTGTTTTTCCCAGCCACATTAGTAGGCTGTTTGATTGGAAGTAGAGCTGCCAATACAGGAAACAGCTCCCATAGGGGATGCTGACATAGCAGGTAGCAGTTTGACTAGCTGTTCCACAACAGGCCCAGAAGAGTTACTGTTTACAGAACACACACCATAAGCGCTGTTCACCATAAGGGCTGCAGGGATTAGAACTAATGCCCATATGGGATCCTGGCATGTGCAAAGCAATGACTTTAGCCGCTAGGCCCAATTTTAAGAAATATTCTATAAACAAGAGCCACTGTATATTTTGTATATATGTATAAATCTCTCTCTTGTGCTATTCATATGTTAAACTCTACTAAAACTCCCTATGTAGAAAATGTCAACCATAAGCTCAACGGAGACCATTTCAAGTATTGCTTTATGCTTTTTGCTCTTCCAAAAGTTCAGCTAAGTCTTTAGAACAAAGAGAAAAACATAGGGTGGCTTACAAACAGCTTTTGACTTGAGGCAAAGACTTTTTTAAAATAAATAAATATATCTTTAGCACATTTGGATATTCAAAAGTCATGTAAAATAACGGGCTGCACTGAACACTTTTTTTTTCCTCTTCCCTAGGTTGGCTTACAGACTTAGTTAACATCCCTCCTCTCTCCCTCCCTCAAGCAGTACTGCATTTCTGGATAAAGGGTTAACAGTAAGATTCTGAGATTTTTAGCCAGAATTCTCAGAGAACTTAAATGTGCAGATGAGGCTTATCATTGGGAACTGAAAAAACTCACAGCCTAAGCAAGCAGAGAGAACAGGAAGGTATATTTTGCGTTATCTACCTACCACCCACCCATGACAGGGTCTTAATTAGAAGGAATGATCCCTATTTTAAAACAACTGTTTTCCTTAAATGCCAAACACAGCCCATGCACCAAGTTCACCCAACTCTGGAAATAAGTATCAGGTGACAAAGGCAGGAGCATGAAGGTGGAATCCCTCCACTGAGCTGTACAAACCACCGCTGTTCCGAGTCCAGTGCCAGCTCTGTTTGCTACAGTTCTACCCAACCATCCATAGTCCATACTCACTCTATGGTGGAGGGGAAGAGGAGTTTAAGATTTATTTAAAGTTAATGATTCAGGCAATTCTTGAAATAACTCACGCTTGGGAAGGCACAACCCAAGAGCGCCAATCAAAAGAGACTCAGCAGCTGCTGGGAACTCCGTTTTGGAAACTCCCTTTTTCTTGGCCATTCCTGACTGTGCCCAAATCCAAACCACAAAGCTGAATGACCCCAGAGAGTCAGAGTTCTTTGCCTCCAGGGAACTCAGAACTCTAGGGCTCTGGATAAATGTTTAGTGAATTGGAGGGCAGAAAGGGCATTACAAACCAGGTGTCCAGATTCCACTTGCCTGCCACCTAGCCTCACCCTCTCCAAGGGGAGGCCCCAAACAGCCAGGATCCAAGAGGCCCGACTGTGGGCTAGCAAGTACAAGCAAGGAGATGACAGTGACTTCAATGTACCAGGCACCAACGCGGTAGGACAGGCTGGGTGCTTGCCAGGATGCAAACCTTCCCCACTCCCATTCCCCAGGGAGCTAAACCAGACAGTTGGAGGAAACCAAGTCAGTTCTGCCCACATCCCCAGGCCTGTTCCACCAGCACCCTCCTTCCTGTTTATGGATCCAGATCCTACCACGGCAGCTACCAAAGAGAAAGCAGACATCTCAATATGTCAACACATGACATAACTTGAAAAAGCTGGCTGCCTATTGGCGCGAGTTACAACTTGCCGGGCTCACGCAAGGAAAACCGGCTCGCTTTAATTACTTCTCTTTTCATACGCCTCGCAGAGTCCTCCGGAGCCCCCGCAAAGATCGGCTTACAGGGCACCAGGTAGCCCTTCCCCGGAGGACCCATACAGCGTGGGCGGTAAACGAATGCAGGGAGCGAAGCAACCTTCGCCTTCCCAAGCCGTGGCCGAGGCGGAGCTGCCCACTCGTCCAGGCGCAGAAAGAGGCCGTCTTGGGCACCCTCTCGCAGGCGGCACCCATTGCCCGGCAGCTCGCTCGCTGTAGGCGCCGAACGGGTCCCCTGCAGCTCAGGACCGATGCCCTGGGGTCATCCGGGGCGCGCCACCTTTGTCTGGTTTCCCCATTAGAACCTGCGAAGCCTGGTTGCCAACCGGGTTTGATATGCTCTGAGGCGCGGCCGCGACTGCCTGCACCCGGGTGCCCAGACCCGGAGCGGCAGCCCCAAACTTCCCACTTGCACCCGGCATACACGCCTGTCTGGAAGTCCCGGCCCTTGGGGTCACTTCCCCACTGCGCCGCCGCCACCGGCTGGGTGGAGAACCGGGAACCCGCGCGCTCGCGGACGCGCCCCTTTCCACCCCCGCACCGAGCCTCCCGCCACCAGACAAGGGAGGGCCACGCGAGCCTTTCTGCCCCGCCCGCTTCTCCCGCGCCCACGCGCTCTCTCGGGACAGCTGGTGCTGGTGGACCCCCAGCGAGGCCAATCTCAGACCGGTGGCCGCGCGTCGGGCCCGGCGCGATAGCGAATCAGACCAAAGACACCTATAGCCACTGCCTGCTGCCGGGCCCCTTTCTCTCACCTGCCTGCACCGTGTCCGAAAGGTCGTGGCCCGGGGCCGCGGTCCTGGGAAATTCCTTCAGTTTCCTGGCACTGAGGTTCAAGCCCCCGGAGTTGACCGCCTCCTCCAGCGCGCGCTCCAGACCCCGGTTCAAGGGCAGGTTGAAGCCGCCGCTGCCGGCGCCGCCACTGCCGCCAGTGCCGCCGCCAGCTCCGGTACCTCCATGCTGGTGGTGGTGGTGGTGGTGGTGGTGAGGGTGAGGGTGATGATGAGGGTGCAAGGTAGCCACCGAGAGGGCAGGGACGAAAGGTTGGGGTTCGCCTCCCGGCGTCGCCATCTTCTCCCGCGCGCGCCCCCCCCACACCCCGCCCTGCCGCTCTCCTGCGGGGGGGGTCGCAGCGTTTCCTCAGGCCGGGAGGACGGCAGTTCCCAGCCGAGTCTTCGCAGTGCTCCCCTAGAAAGACGCCGACTGGAAGGGAGGAGGCTGCGGCAGGCGCGCGGCTGAGGGGGCGGACGAGAGGCGGCCGCAGCAGCTCAGCCTTGAAGGCAGCCTGAGCCCGGGAAGCCGCCGAGTGCGGCGGCGGCAGCGCGCATGTGCCTCCTCGCCTCAGCGCCCTCCTCGCGGCGGCGCTCCCTCCGCGCCAGCTCCCGCCTGCTCCTCCCTCCGGCCCCGCGCCGCCCGCTCCGCTCCCCGCCGCCCGGCCGCGGGGAACCAGGCGGCTGGACTTGTATTCGGGGAGGTGGCTTTGAATTGGGAGCCCACCAGGCTTACTACGGTGGAGGTGGGCGGAGGGGGACACGAGGTTTAAAAGCGAGTGGGGACGCTTTGAGGAAACGAAGGCAAGGTAATTAGTGAGTGCGACGGGACCCTGTCGTCTCAGTTCCCCCAGCTCTGACTGAGCCAGAGTGCCCCCCGAGTTTCTCAGGAGAGGGGTCAGCCCCCACAGCCTGCCGTGGAGGCTGGTCTAAGCAGTCGTTGTTGCCTGGATCCAGCAGGTCGTGGGCGGGGGGGAAATGGTTCCTGTCGGGCTAAGGAAGAAGTTGAAACACTTAGCGGGGGCAGCCCCTCAGTCGGAGGTGCAGCTGGGTTCGAAGGGCAACCCCTGGGCCTTGGGCTCCCACTCCATGAGAGAGTGTTTCCGGGGCTAGACTCCGTTGCCAACAATAACTGGTGGTTGAGTGGCCAGAGAGAATTGCCATACAGACGCAGGAAGGAGGGACTGACAACCTCATGGTCCTTTTTAGGGTGGACAGCATGAACTGACACAGGAGGAAGAGGGGCTGGGCATGGCCATGTGAGCCCGGAATTGTGGTGCCCAGAGAAGCCAGAAGGACTCTAGACACCATGCGAGGGTCCTCGTGCCTGGCCTTCTCCGTGTCCCCTACGGGCCGTGGGCACTCCCAGATCTATAGGCTAGCAAGGATGTCATGTTTCTGCCTTCGAATTCCCAACAGAGCATGCCCAGGCCAAGGCTGGCACGGCAGGGGTCAGGGAGGATCTGACAGGGCAGGCAGGCTCTTCCTCCAGCTCTCCAAGGCTTTCTTCCCTTCCCACTCCCCTACTCAAAACTTGGTAGTCCCTGATGGTGGATTTGGCTTGGGGAAATGAGGCCGGAGGGGTCAAGGACAAAAGTTGGAGTAGAGGAGCTGGAAACATATGACTTCATGGAGTCGGCACTTAAATATGGCACAAGCTACGTCCCTTGAACCGGACCTCGCGTAGTTGCCCTAAATCCTAAGGGATGCTTGCTTGACTGAAACCAAAACATTTTAATTGCTGGGAGAAGACCAGCGCCACCTGCCGGCACCCCTCCCCCAAAACTTGCCTACTTCTCTGGTTGCTTCAAACCTAATATAATAATTAAATGAAAGTATACTTATATGACAGAAAAATTAACCTATCTGCTTTCCTTATTTGGTCTTTCCAGAAAAGTCGAGCAGAAAACACGAGGAAAAAATTTGAGTTCAGAATCTTTACTGTCACCAGATGGATGTGGTGAGTGTGCAGGAAGTGATTGAGGATATCTTTAATTACATATAAACCTAGTATATAGAGAGAATTGTGATGATGGATCACATTCAGCATTATATCTAAAAGACTACCAGTTATTTTCTAGAGGAAATAATGACAACATGACTTCACGATTTGTTTTTTAACCCGCGGTGGGTCTTTATGTTCACCTGACCTAATGACCATAGTTTGCTTCATGTTCTGCAACTTGTTAAAGTGTAAAATTTTGCAGGTAGGAACCCATTGTTCACCTCGCCTTCCCCAGAGCCCAGAACCCAGGGAGGCGCTTTGTAGAATGTGATGAGTGTTAGTAATTAAACATTGCATAGTAGGCTGTGTATTTAGCAAGTCGTCACTTGTTGAAAGTTTCCTATGATTTCACAAATAAGTTTTTCCTTAAGAGGGGGGGTGAGTACTTGACCCTTAAAATGGATCTTGATTCTTTCTAAATATTTATGAAATCTGACAAGCCATTTCCCCTTGCTGTCTTGTTTCTTCACTCCTTCTTCCATGAGATGAATGTTTCTGGTTGGTTTACTACCCTGTTTACTTCCTGCTCTACCCCCTGCACCATGCGTGCGGGCCCCTGGGAACAGCTGCATCACTACATCTGAACATTGTTCTTCAGCCCTGAAGTGGACTGCTGACCAAACTCAGAGCCTGCTGACTGTGTTCAGGCCCAGTGCTGTGGCTGCCTGCTCCCCACTTTGTGTTTCTCTGAGTTAGTCAGTCCATAGATAATGCATTCTCCTTATTGTTAAGTCCATTTCACTTGATTTTCTGTCAATGCATCCAACAGTCCTAAGTTATATATTGACTATATTTTAGTCTCTTTTCTCCCTTATTTTCTTATCTAATCCCATTTTTGATAGTCTAATAATCTTTTATTTGGATGATAGCACAATATACTCTTTTTCCCATGAACTCTCTTCAGTAGCTACCAATCATTCCATGAAATAGCACACTGAAATTAGTAAGAAAGGTGGGGAGGGAAACACAAAAATATTTTCAGGTCAAAAGGTAGGATAAAAGTGATCAATTCCTCCAAGAAAAGGAACATATATTTCCTGTACTGAGAAAAGAAACCAGGTTATAAACCCAACCACACTGAAGACCTAGCTCTTTTAGACATGCTTGAAATCAGATAAGTAGAGCTAGGGACAAACTTGTAAGAACCAGACTTATTGAGAAGCAAATCATCAAATTTGAGGACACCTGCCAGCCGTGCCTCCTCTCTGAAAATCACTAGAAATTCTCCTATGGTGGAACCCTAAAAGGTTTGCTGAGTGGTGGGTGTGGTCAGCTCTCTGGTGCTGATTGCCACTGCAGCCACCACTGAGCAGGCAGGAGGAGGCTGTCTGGTCAGGTCCTGTGGCCCACAGCCCAGGAGCTGCCCCCTCAGACAATGCCACTGGACACAGGAGTCAAGCAGGAAGAGGTGTCTGAGTCCAAAGGCAGGCACAGCCAGCCGCCTCCATGTTCTCTGACTGCTCTGCTTCAGCTCCCTGTTGCCTAAAAAGGAGCAGGAGTGCTCTGTGATGCAAGCTGCCCTTTTCTGACTACACCCCCCACATGTTCTCAGGGCTCAAGTATTCCCTTTGTACTGTATCTGTAAATATTTATCAATAAATATTTATCTCTGAAGGATCAGGGCACATTGTATTCATTATCCTCCTAGGACATTAGGGCAGGGATCAGAACTTTATTTTCTCTCATCCACTGCCTAGATGATTCAATAAATAATATTGTCTGACAGAGGTATTTTTATGTTGTAATGTAGCTAATACCACGAACATGAGTTTCTCACAGAAGACAAAACAATACGATCTTGGACATGTTTCAGAGGTTTTTTTCCTGGTGCTCCAAAACACTAAAACTGTAAACCAGTGAGGGACAAAGTGACTCTGACAAAATGAGAAGAATTACTACATATCTAAGATTTCAAAAATCTGAATGTATTCAAGTTCAAGAATGTGAATGTGATTGTGAGAATGTGAGAATCTTTCTAGGAAAAAAAAAACGTAACAAAACAATGATTATACAGGTTGAGCATTCTTAAACTGAAAATGCTAAATCCAAATGCTCCAAAATCCAAAACTTTGAGCCTTGACATGATGTCAAAAGTGGAAAATTCCATATCTGACCTGATGGGTTGGATCACAATCAAAACACATAGGCACACTGAAAAAAAATATTGTATAATATGATCTTCAGGCAGTGTATATAAGATGTGCATGAAACCTTAAATAAATTTTGTCTTTAAACTTGGCCTCTATCCACAAGACATCTTACTATGCATTTACAAATATTCTCCCCATGGTGGAAAACAAAAATCCTTAATACTAATGCTTCCAGAAATTTTGGATAAGGGGCACTTTGTCGCGCCCACGTGTCTTACCGCCCAGCAATAAGACGCAGACGCGTGTGAAGTCTCCTGCGGTAAAATTTATTGTGCACACTAACATGAGGAAGGAAGCGTGAATCCCGGCAGGCTTCTACTCTTATGTGCTGTCTGGCCCCGCCTCCGCCGATGATAGGTCGGCGTCATGATTACGCAGGGTTCTGGGCGACTGGATTCGTCAGTCCCAGTGTTTACGTGCCTGCCGCGCCGCAGCTCACTGCGCATGCGTTAGGCGCGTGCGTGGTACTGCCAAAGCTACGTGACTATCCACCAGGCACCAAGATCTAGCCTCTCTGGCCGGCGCCATTTTGGGTACGGCATGTAACCAGTATATACAGATATGGCTGGCAACAGCACTTCATCTGTAATAAATGGTATTCTGAAATTCATTTTAAGAGTTCATTTACATTTGTGTGTGTGTGTGTGTGTGTTTGTGTGTGTGTGTGTAAAAACTCAAAGAGAGAGAGAGATTGTCCACTTGTTGATTCCCTAGATGCTCACAACAGCTGAGCTAGACGGGGCCAAAGCCAAGAGCCAGAAAGTCCATCCGAATTTCTCACATTGTTGTCAGAGATACATTGTGCCTTAACAGGAAATTTGATTAAAACAGAACAAGGACTTGAAGCAGATTTTCCCCTTTAGAATGAGGGAGTCTTAACCTGTTCCTTAATGATTGTGCCACCTGCCCACCATAACACCATTTTAGGGAAAAAAATTTAAGTTATTTGAATCATTTAACAATTTTTTTTTTAATGTTACTTACCTTTGAACTTAAAAGGCCTGAAAACTACTTGCTTAGACTTTTATTTTCTTGCAAGGAAGGTAATCATAGATAAAGCAGTCACTAGCCATAGGGCATTACCCTAAGCTATGTTTAAATTTCAGATTTTGTTTAGGCACTAATTTAATATAGTGCTTATCTACCTTTGTGAAAGGGTTGTTTTATTTGTGTCTTCACTTCCACCTCCTTTCTGTTTTCTAAGCATTCTCATTATAAAAATTACTGTAAATTTGGAAAGAGGATGTCAGCTTTCTTTACATGTTTAAATTCATCACAGCTGACCATCATCTGTATTCTCTTTTCTATTTTTTTTTTAGATTTATTTATTTTTATATGGAAAGTAGTGTTACAGAGAGAGAGGGAGAGACAGAAAGGCC